CAACATGTACAGACTACTTATTTGCGCCGGTGATACAATACCAAAGAAACAAATCACACATAAGTACTACGTAAGCATAGACTTAAATAGATTTGGGATATATTTGACCAATGTACTTCATCAACATTTCAAATTAACTTTTGGATATATAAAAAAGACAATAACTCATCAGATGAAATTATTAAAATCACCGATGCTTTTAATCAACTGAATTTCATCGATTGTCAAAAATCAGCCGATATAAATGATTCAGATGGAATATTCTGGCTTGGTTATTGTTACGAATACGGAATTGGAGTTGAAAAGGATGAGAATAAAGCATTCATTCATTATCAAAAATCTGCAGAGATGAATAATCCAAACGGAATGTATCAAGTTGGCTACTGTTATTATTTAGGAATTGGGGTTGAAATGAATAAGCATAAAGCGTTTACGTACTACCTAAAATCTGCTGAGGCCGGTAATACTATGGGAATTTTGAAAACTGCCATTTGCTATCGTTATGGAATTGGTGTGATAGAGAATAGAGATGAATACGATAATTGGATTAAAAAGTACGTTGTTTGTTAATTTTATCATTATTAATGTAATATATTTGAATTTTACATTTTAATCCTTTAGAGAGTAAGTATAACTGATAATGATCAATTATATAAATTATAAAATCATTTTGTTTGCAATAGTTTGTAATTTCCACTCAAATAATATTATTAAAATTGGGTTATCCACATTAACTTAGTCCGTAAGTATAAAGAGCATCAACCAATCTAAGTAATTAAAATAAGCTATTCAAGTCCATGAAAATTTATTATTAATTCACGTTAATTTAGTCTGTGAGTATACAAAAGAATATTTATTAACCAAAGTATTTAAATGAGCCATTCAAGTTCATGAATTTTTACTATTTAATTTTATTGTGTTAATTTAGGAGGTGAATATAAAGAAATTAGTCTAAGTATTTAAAATAAACTACTCAAGTTCATAAATATTTACTATTTAATTTTCTTTTATTCACGTTAATTCAGTATGTGAGTATAAAGAACATTTCTCTATCTAAGTACAGTATTAAAATAGCTATTCAATTTCACGAATATTTATTATTCAATTTTATTTTATTTGCGTTAATTTAGTACGTGAGTATAAAGAACATTTATTAATCTAAGAATTTAAAATAAGCTTTAAGTTTATGAATATTTACTATCTAATTAATTCTAGATTGTGAGTATAAAGACATTTATTAATATAGGTATTTAAATAAGCTATTCAGGTTTATGAGCATTTACTATTTAATTTTATTTTATTCGCGTTAATTTAGTATGTGAGCATAAAGAACGTTTATTAACCTAAGTATTTAAATAAGTTATCCGAGTTCATTAATACTTATTTAATTTTATTTTATCCGCGTTAATTTAGGAGGTGAGTATAAAGAACATTTATTAACCAAATATTTAAATAAACTATTCAAGTTCATAAATATTTACCATTTAATTCGTGTTAATTTAGCGGGTGAGTATTAAGAACATTTATTAATCTAAAATAAACTATTCAAGTTCATAATTTATTCGCGTTAATTTAGTGCGTTAGTATTTTGAACATTTATTAATCAAAGTATTTAAAATAAGCTATTCAATTCATGAATATTTATTATTTAATTTTATTTTATTCGCGTTAATTTTAGCAAGTGAGTATAAAGGACATTTATTACCCCTAAATATTTAAATAAGCTATTTAAGTTCATGAATATTTATTATTTATTCGCGTTAATTTAGTTGGTGAGTATAAAGAACGTTTTTAACTCAAGTATTTAAAATAAGCTATTCAGGTTCATATTTACTACTTAATTTATTTTATTCGCGTTAATTTAGTATGTAAGTATAAAGAACATTCATTGATCTAAGTATTTAAAATAAGCTATTTATGTTCATGTATGTTTATTTAGAATGTGAGTATAAAGAACATTTATTAATCCAAGTATTTACAATAAGCCATTCAAGTTTATGAATATTTACTATTTTACTCGCCTTAATTTAGGGAGTGAGTATTAAGAACATTTATTAATCAAAGTATTTAAAATAAGCTATCCAAGTCCAGGAATACTTATTAATTTATTTTATCCGTGTTAATTAGTCGGTGAGTATAAAAATTATTTGCATTTAAATTTAAGAGTACATGATAACTAATATAATACAATCAATAATTATAAAATTATAAAGGAAACCATATTATGGAAAATGTGCATATTGTAAAGAATATAGCATGGTGTCAAACATGTGACCCATACATAACGATTCGAGAATGGACAAGTGGAAATAAGGATATTGATAATTGCATGAAAGGGCTTCAACTTAGATCTACTTTTTATGGAGATATGATTGAATGGATTCCATTTGATAGACTAAATAATATTAAAAAAATTGGCGAAGGAGGGTTTAGCTCGGTATTTTCTGCGACCTGGTTAGATGGTATACGGAAGAAACAAGAGGTTAAAAATGTTGCTGAAATTGATAGATATGTAAGAACGCGTGAACCATCTAGCACCGTTGCACTCAAGACCTTATCTGGTTCCAAGGAAAATCCTAATGATTTTTTGAAAGAGGTAAGTTAAATAATTGTATTTAATTAAACACGTATTGAACTAATTTATTTCTATAAATTTGCAAAGTTTGACAATCATATGGAATGTAGACTACACGGTAGTAATCTTAAGATATATGGATTAACTCAAAACACGGAAACAAATGAATACTTCATGGTATTTCAATATGCCAATAATGGATGTCTTCATAAATTTTTAAGAATGAAATTTCGAGATCTTACCTGGCAAATTAAATTAAAACTACTTGAAGATATTTCAGAAGATTTAAAGAAAATTCATGAAGTAGGATATATTCATGCAGATTTTCACAGTGGTAATATTTTGCAAGATGAAGGCGTTAGTAAAATTATGCAATCTTACATCTCAGATCTAGGAATGTCTAGAAAAACAAATGATAATGATTCAGAAGGTGGTATTTATGGAGTCTTGCCTTATGTCTCTCCAGAGGTTTTATTGGGACAGAAGTTTACATCAGCTGCAGATATTTATGGCTTCGGAGTTATTATGTCAGAGATGTCAACTGGACAAAGACCTTTTGATGGTCGCCCATTTGATCTTAGTCTTTCATTAGATATATGCAAAGGATTGCGACCTGATTTTGCACCTGGGACTCCTTATTGCTATATTGGATTAGCTAAGCAATGCATGAATTCAGATCCACAAAAACGGCCTACTGCTAGTGACATTCGGAGAAAACTTTATAAATGGCTGAATGAAGATTATGAATATTCAGATGAAATTAAAAAGCAATTCTTAGATGCTGATAAAATAATCAAAGAATTGCCAATTGTCTCGCCAATACATCCAGATTCTATGTACACTAGCAAAATAATAAATACTAAAAGAATATCAAGCGTAATTAAAGGTATTTATTTTAAAATTATGCTATATCAGATATTATTTATTTATTTATTTATTCGTTTAAAACTAATTATGCTACATTAGCAAATTTACCAAGTAAACCTGTCGGTTCTGTTGAAGTTCCTCTTGGTAAGTAATATATTAAGCTTATAGTATTTATAATAAAACAAATTTATTAATTATTTATATTGGCATTTAGATTATTGAGTTGGTCGTTCTAAAGATATAAATTTTATTACTTGTCATTATGATTTACATATAATTATTTAATTTTAATATTTCTTTAAATGCTTACTCAAAAAAATATGCAATTAAAGATATTTAATTTATTAATTTATGGCAAATTCTTATCTTTGTGTATTTCTAACAAATATAGAAGGTTTTATACGTAATATACGTAGACTGGTTGGTTTAAAAAAAAAAACGTTTAGTATTATAATTAATAACAATTAATATATGGCTACTACGCTACTACGTAGTGGGTGTACAGTTCCGAAATTACCCCTTTTTTTGCTAATTTTTTTTTCTCAAATGCGGTGAACTTTATGATGTGATGTTATTTATATACGTAACATAATGCAAGAACCAGATTTTCTTGTTATGTCTGTGCCAATTATTCATCACATGATAATGTTACAGCCAATCGAACTTGCATGCTAAAAAAAACTTTAAATGAAAATACTTGACCATGGACACTATCTGGTAAATTCAAAGTCCAAGTAATTAGTACACTTTCGAATTCTACTGACCTGTATAATTTGGAAATCACTAAAAAAATTGAGTTATAATTGTTCAAATATTTAAAAAATGGGAAACTAAATTATGAAGTTCGACTGAAGATGTTTTATCGACTAATTTAGGGCGTTCTCAAGCACCCACCTCAATGAATTCAATAAAAAATATGATTGGCTAGTTTGATTAAACTGACAAATCAGATTCGTTATTGAGTCCATTGAGGTAGGTGCTTGAGAACACCCTTAGTCAGCTAAGTCGATTTTAGACTACAATTGCTAATTTCGAATTCTGGGTTAAAAATTAATTCAACTACAGTATAGCATTTTTAACATTTCTGTTTAACACAGTAAGTAGGATATGACTGTATGTATTGAAATAGATTCTTTATGCATAAATCAATTATATGGCACAGTTTAGAGTTAAGTTTGGGGTAACAATTAAGGGATACAATTAAGGGTGAAGTATTATTAGAGTTAGTATGGACGTACTAAATTTCCATATACGTACTACGTATGAGGTATGTATACGTATCAAATATATGCGTATCAGATATATATATTTATATTATATATATATAACACAGTATACGTATACAGTATTCCTTTTAGATTTAATTTTCTCAATTAGTAAATGTATAGTCGAACCTATCGTAATTGATATTCACATGAAAGTTCAATGATTCGCAAATCACAAAACGTATAAAAGTTTCCACCAACCATTTCCTAAAATTATTTTGCATTTGTAAACAACTTTTTCTCAAAAGCCACATTAAAAAAAAAAATAATAAAAGTTTTTTTTTTACATGACAATGGCCTCTGGAAGTCCACCGTCGTTTGATAAAAATTATAGTTCAGAATGGGAAAAAATATGTTTAGAATTTTTTAGTAAAGATGATAAAGAAGCAGAAGCAGTAGTTGGACTTGTAGAATTTGCATCACGTTCTAATGGAGAAGTTACAGTAAATATCGAATCTATTGATAAAAATTTGAGAAAAGAAAAAATAGAAGAATTATTAGTAAAAATTGGAATAGTTAATGGAGTAATGGTTAATCCTCAAGAATTTGATAAATATCTTGAATCTAAAAGAAAAGTTCGATCAGAATTTCACCGAGAAAAAGCCAAGGAACTTTTTAAAGAATTAGATAAACTTTTACATTCAAAACCAGCTAAATATACACCACTTCATCGACTTTCAGAACTTAAAACATATCTTGCACAATATAAAACATCAATTGGAGCTCGGCCGTTTTTAAAAGGGTTATTACATGTTTTTAAATTTCAATTACACCAATCTACACTCGCTTCATGGACATTTTTGGATAATACTTTAACTCAAAACGGAATTGATTTTATGAGAGCTACAGTTAATTTATTAATTAATGTATTAGGCTTTACGCATACAATTCAAGAAGTTGATGAAAGTGGGGAACAAGGTAGTCTTCGTACGTGGTATATTAGTAGTACATTAAGTGATTCCGAAATTTTAACACTTATCAAAGCATTTCCAAAAGAAAAATTTTTTAATAATGTTAAAGCGACAGGTTTAATAGAACTATCATCTCAACAACGTTCACCAAATTTAATTAAAACTTCAAAAGGAAATATTGTTGGAAAATTTTTTTTATTCTGGTGGAATCTGTTAATGTGGTTATTTAATTTTTGTTTTAAATCTAGAAAAGTTGAGGACGAATCATTATCTCGTACTTAACATATTTTTAACATAATAACAAATCGTAATCTGATTCTTCATTATTCTATTATGATATATATATATTTTTAAGATATGAATATTTATTATAGTTTACTCTCGTTAATTAGTGACTTTTTATTTAGTATACACCCCAATTACATATAAATTATATACATATAAATTACATATAATTTATAGATCGTATTTCATTATAAAACATAATTTTTTTTAAATAAAAATAATTTGAAGATTCAGTCCTGACGAAATTTAAATGCTATTACTGTATATGATAAAAAAAGTCAATAACTTTAATTAATTAATTAATTAATTAATTATAACGATACGCAAGTATTAAATTTTATTCCTCAGAATTATTTGCTACGTAACTCATTTATGTTATTTATGATTATTAATTCTAGTGAAACAAATATCATTGAAGACAGGTGTTATAATTTATTGTTTTCATTTTCTTACCATATAGCTCTAGCTCGTTGTTTACCTAGTCTAGATACAGAATAACTTATACGTAGCCAAAGGATATTTTACTATGTTAATTCCGCGACAATAAGATTCTGATGCTGTGTGCCATATATGTGTCTTACCCTGATTGGTGTGTAGATTGGTAACACTAATACTGTAATAGTTTTAAGGAGTGATACGTAACAAGCCATTACCGTTATTGTTATGGATTATTTGCTCTGTGTTTGAGAGCACATAGAGCGTGCCATTAGAAATCAAGAGACGAGTACTTTCTTATTGATTTCTAAAGTTCGTATGTACTTATGTACTGTACGTATATCGATATAATTTTTCTTTTTTTACCTCCATTACGTATTAAGATATTGAGGCCCGGGTAAAGATCATCTAGATAACCCGTGAATGCATCTGTTAACATATACATAATCCCGGATTGAAAAAAATAAATGCCTATCATTATGTCATAATTTGCATAATGACAGTATCTGTTACACGTGTTTTCTCGTTATGCACATTTCCCCGACTTACGTACGCAGAAAAATTTAACTTTATATTTACTAATTTTATATCTATCTATATATATATATATATATATATATTGAATTTTGAAAAGCTTATTTTAATTACATCATTTAGTTTATTAAACTCAATGAAAGGCATTATCTAATGATAAATATCTTTGAACATTAATAGCCTATTTTGAAAATTTTCAAATAATTAAATAATACACTGTAAATATGCTCTCAGTCTAAATTAATGATAGTATTGCAAAATGATCTTTATACTTACTGGTATTATCACAATTAACGAGGTAGAATAAATCAAATGACTTAAATATTTCAAATAGTAATATTTGCTGTACTTCAAGTTGCCACCTGCCTCGAATTGCTACTTCAGCGTCCGTACTTGCCTAAAAATTACTACTTGATGAATATAAGACCTTATCGCTGTTTTCAATTTAGTTGGATTTCATTTTTGTTTTTTTTCATAAGTCCCGTAATTGCAATATAACTGATAAGGTAAGTGTCCCTATTTTGACGCAGGTAACGTTTACGATAAATGTCACGTGACGCGCCTTACCATTCAATTCGTCTCATTTAGACGAATTGAATGGCACCAAAACCATCCAATTACAATCACTAGACCACGAGATGTTATTTGGTCAAAAAAATGGACCTAAATTGATATAGCGCCTAATTTGACACAGGTAAACGTTTACGATGAATACCATGTGATTGTATTGATCAGATTCATAAAATTTTTGGTACCGTTCAATTCGTCTCGATGAGACGAATCGAATGGTGCCAAAATCTTGTCAATACATCACATGGTATTCATCGTAAACGTTTACCTGTGTCAAATTTGGTACATCTACCTTGGACTGTTTTGATTAAATGGAGTATCTCGAGAACTATCGTTCAGAACCAGGTGATTTTGGTACCGTTCGATTCGTCTCGATGAGACGAATCGAATGGTACCAAAATTCTATGATTCTGATCAACGGTTCACGAGATATCGTCGTGCGTCAAATTAGGTACATCTACCTTAAGAGATGCCTAAATTTGTCGGGCTCATTTAACAAATATATACCTTTTAACATCCTTTTGGTCTACGATTCTAGTAAGACCAAGTAAATATTCGCATATTTGCCTTAATCTCCAGCTTTGGAACTCAAGTTTATACTAGAGAAAAAAAAATAACAAACAAAATATATGATTATCATAATTCTTGGATACCTGATAAAAATTAGCCGAATGATTTTTCGGTCGATTCGATTCGATTAAGTTTATGATTTGGTATGATCCGTATAATAAAAGCTATTTTTGTAACATTATGATTGTTTTATAATCATTGTAATGATAGTATCAACGTATTAAATTTTCGTTAGAATGCTTGTCTAACATGTTTAGTGTATCAATAAATCTTAGAAAGAAATATAAAAGAGATCCGGATACAAAATTAGACTTCCATAATAAACATATTACACGAATTGGCGCAAATAAAAAAAAGAGTATATGCTGCATGTTTATTGATTATTGTCAATTTAACATGTATCATTTGTGAATTAATGAATAACGTACGTATGTCGTTTGGAATCGGTATGAAAAAAGACGAAATTCAAGATCTTCTATTTTTATTTTATTTTTTAAAAAAAGAAATAAAAGCTAAATATGCCTTATTAGACAATTAGAAAAATTCATCTACATTGTCTTAAAGTAATGATTTGCTTCTAAATTAGCACGATATTCTTTCTGTAATGACAACAGGTACCAGTTTTTTAGGTGTTGAATAATTCGGTTTGTACTGTACTGTAGACCGGGGTAAAATCGCCACCCAAAAAAGTTTCGATCATCACGTGACAAATATATCGAGCACCAAAAAGTCATTTAACTTGAGCAAACAAAAAATTTATAAGCAATAAATTAATCATTTTATTATTTCAAATAAACTCGATAAACGTAATATTTATTACAGTTGAAAGTATTATTATTACGATTTTTCTAGGGATTCTAAAATGATTATAATCCTTCAATTTATGCAATAGCTTTATTATCGTCTATTTGTTACTATTTGGATTAATCATGTTTTCTTCAAAAATTTTTTTGTTGCGCTCTGGATTCGGAATTATAAACCTTTTTGCTCAAATAAATAATCAGAGTTATAACCTTCTGGAAGAGCATTCAAAATAACATCTATAAGATTTTCTGATGTAATTGCATTTGCCTGATTAGTTTTTATAATTTATTTCTTTTTTCATTTATAATTAGTGGAAATTTGGTTATGGAGAACAATGTGTATTTTTAGAATATTGTGTTATTGAATTTATGTTTTTAAAAGAGTTCAACAATCGTTTTACATTTTGAAGAATTGAAAAAAACAAAATCATTTACTAAATCAATTAATACTTTATTTATTATTATCATGATTCCAATCATGATGAATTGACAATACCACATGATTTTTAAAACTTTTTTGGGTGGCAATTTTATCTCGGTCCCTTTCTTAGAGCTATTACTTGTCCGATATCTAAAGAAACTCTACCAAAACTCTCTGATAGAACAACAAAAATATTAATTACCTTTTTTCGAGATATTACTTGTCTGATATCTAAAGAAACTCTATCAAAACTCTTCGATAGAACACAAAAAAATATCAATTAACTTTCTTTGAGATATTTACCTTGTCTGATATCTAAAAAAAATCTCATCAAAAATCTCTGATAGACTAACCAAAATATCATTTAACTTTCTTTGAAATATTTACCTTGTTTAATATTTAAAAAAATTCTCTGATAGAACAGCAAAATATCAACCAACTTTCTTTGAGATATTTACCTTGTCTGATATCTAAAAAAATCCTATCAAAACTCTCTGATAGACTAATCAAAATATCATTTAACTTTTTTCAAGATATTTACCTTGTTCGATATCTATATGAAATCTTTTTGCAGAAAAAAAATAAAAGTATCAGCAGATTTTTGCAAAATATATACAATGGTGATATCTCATTAAACTATTAGTATGTATTATAGAAATATTAGAAAAAAGATAGTCTGTCCGAAATTTTCATATTCGACCTGTGTATATAACTTATTTAAAAAACTAGTCTTTTTAGAATTAATCTAATTATAAAAAATAAAATAGTATAGCTATTATATATAGATAAAATATACTTGTTCTTGTATAAAAAGTTGGAATTATATATAAAGAGGTTAATGGTTATTATAATAAAAGATTTGTTATAAAGTAGAAATTATTTATTTATATCTATATATTAAATTTTTTAAAATATTACAGGTTTTTTCAACCTATTTCATTTTTTAACCAATCAAATTCATCTAAATACCAATCAAATTTGTGTTTCAATCAAAATA